TTCTTAACAGTGAGGGTGACAGAGCACTGGAACAGGCTGCCCAGAGAGGTTGTGGAGTCTCCTTCTCTGAGATCTTCAAACCCCGTTTGGACGCAGTCCTGTGCCACGTGCTCTAGGTGACCCTGCGTGTGCAGGGGCGTTCGACTAGATGATCTCTAGAGGTCCCTTCCAACCTTCAGCATTCTATGATTCTATTCTATGATTCTATGTCGTCCTCCACTGCCTCTAGGCACCTGTGCAAGGGCACAGTAGCCCAGAGTTGCCAGCTGATGTGCCTGTGGCACTTGTAGCCTGACAACTATGAGAATTTACCATTGAGCTGGTGTTTAGAAAACACATCCAAAGGCTTTGCCAGGTTAGAAGTGCTTGTGTGTTGGGCAGGCAGCAACTAGGCACTTTCATTGTGCTTCCGGTCCGAGGGAGAGACTGATGGGAGAGAAAAACATTTAATATTCAAATGTGTTTTCAGCTGAAAATGCAATGGTGGTAGTGATGGCAGGTAGTACTGAGCCCTGCTATTCCACTAGTAATAACCGGGCAGAACCACAGAATCTCAGAATGGTTGAGGTTGGAAGGGACTTCTAGAGATGATCGATTCCAGCCCCCTTCTCCAGCAGGTTGATTTGTAAGCTGGGCTACACATTTAAAATAAACTCGTCAGAGCCCAGAGCACCGTCCCATGGTTTCCCCACTGCTCCAGCAGGTTGATTTGTAAGATGGACTCCGTGTATAAAATAGTATAAAATAAACTCATCAGAGCCCAGAGCACCGTCCCATGGTTGTCCATGCTCTCTGAAGGATCACACACTTCCCAGCACTTTTACACCCCGCTCCAGGTAGCCCCTTCCCAGGCAATGCGAGGGCCCGGCTGAGGTGGTGGTGCAGGCCAGGACCTGCTCCCGGTGTGCGGCCTGCGTAGGCCTCCGAGTTCTGCGCAACATGACCCTGCCGTGACACTTACTCTCAGGAACAAAATGCAGAAAAAGCAGGAATACCACTCAGATTTCTTGTCATGTGGCTCAGCACTCAAATAAGACTAACTACAGTGTCTTCAGAAAGCAAAAGCTATGAAAAATACCATAAATTGTGAGATCACTTTAAACTTTGAGAAAATACAAAGTGCATCAGAGCAGAGACTTCTTTTTTTTTTTTCCGTAAATCTGATTTACCTTCCTATTAAAAATTTGGCACATTAATTATTTTTCTTTTCTGTCTGAAGCTTTGATTCATTTAACTTCCTGTTAAGCAAATAACAAAATGTTCTTAGAGAGTAAAGAGCAGCGATCCTTTTTTCCCTACTGGGACCTGATGTGAAAGAATTAACTCCACTAAAAGAACTTCTGCTGATTCAGATTGTATTTCATGCTGTATCGGGGAGAACTTTAAGACATGTTGTAATCTTCACGCCTTGTCTGCAGTTTTCTCACTGCTTCAATGAGTCCTTATGGTATATAATAACATTAGAACAAATTGAACACACTGTAACAGCTTTTATAATTTTGTCCAACTTAAACAAGCAGCCAAGTGTTGACATGTCATCAATTTTATTTAAATTTTTTTTTGAAAATGCACTTGATGGCTTTGTTTCTGCAACAGAGAAAATATGGTGTACTACTTGAAAAACAAGATGGTTTCTGACATCATTTCTCTAAAATTTTCCTTCTTTAGTATATTGAGTTTATGGTCAGCTTTTACTGTTAAAATTCCACTCCTCTCTCTCCTTTTGGTCTGAAAGATCCAGAAAAAGCCACATGACGTGTTTTCAATGGACACACAATGAAATGTCATTCATAATGTTGCTTAATTGAATTTGCACGAAAACAGTGTTGACTGTCCTGAAGTTTAGCATGAGAGAAGCCAGGGATGTGCAGAGTACTTGGCAACTGTAGTATGAAGTTTAACACATACCTCTCAAGAACAATCTTGTAATCTGCTTAGAGCACAGCAGTGTAATGGTGTATGACTGCAGACTGTAAAATGTTAGAAATATTTCCACCGGTGGGCTTTACATTTGCTTACGTTGAGAACGGTTCAGCCCAACAAGAGAAATGTCTGTATTTTTGTTTTTTTAATGATAACCAGTTTCCAGCTACTCTAAATATTTATATAGTGAGTGTTATGCTTTCTCATGAAGCACAAATCAAATAAAATTGGATTTTTGTGGCATCACATTTTATGCTGCGGTTTTTCAGTTTGAGGTGGCCACCTAAGACTACTCATTTATTAATTATGCAATTATCTTTCTCAGCCTTATTTTTAAATATTCAGGTATGTATTTATTTTTCATCAAGCATATATGTAAACTCCTGATGCACTGTTGGCTTTTTCAGCACTGTGTTCTAACCAAGAAGTTTGACTATCTTTTGAAATTAAAGGAGGAAGAGGGATTTGTTGGGGATCTTTACTTTGCTTCCCTGTGGTTTCTTTGCCTGCTTTTTTACAACAGACTTCTTGTTTGTCTGGAAAGGTGAAAAACATTTAGCAAACCCTTCTAGACCGCTGTTTGGTGTATTTGTTAAAAAAGCAATGTGTCTGATCACAAGGCTAATTCTAAAGTTGTTTACACTGATCCCTAAGGTAGCAGCACTAAGGCTGAGCCAGCTTTCCCTATAAACTTTCAAAAATTGAGAATGAGGGGAATGAGTTGGTTATATTTTCATTATGGTATGCAGTGAAATAATATTAATAATATTCAGCTTTAGATACTAGGGAAGAGAAAAAGTAGTGGTCTCCCATTTTTGCAAACTACTGTGACACTGTATTTTCAGGAGTATTGGTTCAAGATGTTCCTTTCTGTTGGGTTTGTAAATGAGGTTATCTGTTGATACAGGGCTTATGATGGGAACACTTATCCATTAGGAACTGAACTGTATTTGAGACCGCGTTGACCCAGGAAATCAAACATCTCTTAGAAAATATGTGGCAATTCCTCTATTTAAAATTCAACCAGAAACAGAGGTGAAAGTCTTTCTGTGTCACTCTGAACCTTGTTAGTTGTTCCTGTCTCCCTGTCTCCACAGTGACCCTGTCTTGCTTTTTTTGCTACATTATCCCACAGGAAAAATTATTCTCCCCAAAACAAATAAATCAGTAGTTAATTTAATTTTAACGTTTCTCCAATAATCAAAATTAATTTATATTTAGATGTATTAATCGTTTTCTCAGAGGCAACAAACCAGTGCTGTCATATATCATTTCTCTCATTTTTATATTTTATAGTGCTTTTTTATTACTTTTATCTAAAAAAAGACACATTTTGGTCTTCGGATACCTGACCTTTGCATGCACCGTTTTCTTTCTTATTACCTAAGAGGTGAAATTCCTTAGCT